CAGCGCATTCCCGAGGCAGCTCTGCGCGCAAACTCGCCAAGAGCTCGGCCAAGCAGGGCGCTTTTTTCTGGGACGGTGGAAGGCCGGGGGGGGGGGGGGCGGTTGGTTTGCTCTCTCTCGTTCGCTCACCTGGCGGCTCTCCCCGCGCTTGGTCCGCGAAGCCCGTGACGGTGTTGGCGCGGCTGGCCGGGGCATCGTCGGTTTCTCCTCCCTCCGGCCGGGGTGGCTCCCGACCGCCGGCTAGACGGCGGTAAAGCGCGACCATGTAGTGGTGAGGCACCAGCGTGCCGTTCCCGAAGACGCTTCCATCCCCGTTGAGGCGCTCGCCGGGCTCTGCCTTCCCGAGGCCCGGGGCGGCCTCCCCCTCAGCCTCAGCCGCCGCCGCCGCCGCCGCTGCGTCACTGGCCTCTGCCGGAGGCCGAACAACAGCGGCGTCCAGCTGCCCGTAGCGGAGGCGGCAGGCGCTCCAGAGGCAGCAGAGGCAAAGCGTGGCGGCCGCCCTCAGCTGCATGCTCTCGCAGTCGCCCTCCGCTTCGGAGCAGGCCCGGGCTCGGCGGGCTCTGAGGCGGCTGGCGCAGGGGCTTTTGAGGGCTCCTCGGACTCCCCGGCCGCTTTTGAACATTGTGTTCAACTCGACGCCGAACCAACCAGGACAACTACAGCGGTGGCAGCGGCTGGCTGGGACCCTCGCAGCGCCCCCTGCCGGCCAGTCGCCGCCGCCGCCGCCGCCGCCTGGCAAAAACGGGCGCTAGCTTTTGCAAAGGCGGGGAAAACGGGAGGCGGGCGAAGTGGACTCATGCAAGAATTTTTTTTTAAAAAAAAAAAGAAGAAAGGAGAAGAAAGAAGAAAGAAGAAGCGGCGGGGAAGAGGGGGGGGGGGAGAAAAATACAGCCCCCAATATAAATAGCCTCGCTGAGTCACATATTTGTTTTTACAAACTCTTCTTCTTTCCTTCCTTCCCTCCCTCTCTCTCTTCTTCCCCTTTTCCTGTTTCTTTCCCCTCCCGGAGGGTTTTGTTTTTGTTTGTTTGTTTGTTGGTATGTTTTTAACCGAATCCGTCGGAAATAACACCAGCCGGAGAGAGCTTGGCCGGGACGCTTTGCCAAAGGGGACAGAGAGTTGGGATGCCAGCCTCCCGTCGCCTTTTGGCTGGACGCTGCAACAAAGCCGCCTGGGGAGGGTGGGGGTGGAGTGGGGGGAGGGAGGAAGAGACGAGGCTGGCCGCGTGGATTTTCACCTCGAGTTACAAAGGAGAGAGGGGGGAAGGGGGAGGGAGCAATTGGATTCATCCGGCGGGAATTTTGCACTAGTTTGATCCTCGACCCCTCCGAAATACAGGACAGAAGTTGCGCTTTCCTCCGCTTTCTAATGTTCAACTTGGCTGCTCTTTGGGAAAAATCAGTGGCTTATCGCTCCCTAGTTTAAGAAGCGGGGGGGGGGGGGGGGGAAACCAACAACACCTGGATAATTCAGTATACTACTGCAGTAGTCCCAGCAACAGATGGGATCAGTAGTGGTGTTGGTGATCGGAAGCCAGAGGAGCGGACTGCGTTTTAAACAGGTTGACTCCGCTGTTTCGACGAGCTTTCGGCGCGTCGTCTAGTTCGGTGGGTCCAATTGTGCCATTTCAGTTTGAACGACCTAGACCCGGAACCGGGTTTGCAAATGCCAAACCCGTGTTCAAAATGGCACCTGTGACTTCTACTGCTAGAAGGTAAATAGGGCCGGTCTGTCGTCTCATTGTCAAACTTGTCCTGCTTCGTGATCTGTTTTATCAGTGACCGCGGAGAATGAGAGAGTCATAAACGTTAGTAAGTACGTATATAAGTCACGCGGCATAGATGTACTACCTAATACTTGTATGCGAATGTTTAGGCTTGAATATGGACTCCCAACAAATCGCAAAGCAGACAGGCTAGTCAGCTGGCTCTGTTAAGTGGTCGCCTCTAACGTCGAGACCGCACGATTCGCATTTTAAGGCGCTGTCAGGTGCTACGTAATTGGGAGTCCGACCCATCGTAGAATGGTAGTATCCAATCTTCGACGGCCTGGAGGTTAACTGCAGAACTGCGAAATACATTCATTTTAATGGACTTTTGCTGGGTAATGTCTTTGCTTTCGGCCTTTCCCAGGAAAGTACTAAGTCCCATTCGACGGAAGCGACTGGGAGGGCGTCTCCAGACCCCACGACTCCTGCCTCTCCCCGCCACCCCATTAGACTGGCTTTCCCCAGATTGTTAAGAAAAAAGGGGTCTTACTTTACATTCAGCTTCCCGTTTCCAATATGTTTTAGTCGAGTTTATTTGGAAATCAGTCTCGTTGGATTCATTGGTCCTTACTCCCAATGATAACCTCCGTCTGGGTGCGTTCATTGGTCCTTACTTCGCGTATGATAATTGCAACTGGAGAAACCCTAGGGAATCTTTGTAAGAGAGGCGGCTTACTCTAGTCTAGGATAACCAAAACTTGGACATCTGCTAATTGTGTAAAAAAGTAGAAGCTTCATGGCTCACTGTCACAAGATATATATTTTAACAAAGGAAATACATGGCGACTTTGACTTCAACAAGGAAAATCGGTACACAAATGGCTTGCTCGGAAGCACTAATAAGGAAACAAACCCAGTCTCTTTTCCATCCCATTCTTCCCTAGAGCTTCCTTCTAGTTAGCAGTACTTTTTATTAACCCTTTCCCTTTTCTTCCGTTTTGATTTTCTTGGTCAAAATTCAAGCGTTTCTCTAGATCCTCGTTCATATCAGGAACCCACTTCAAGACTAGTTACTTCAGTTCTTGCAATACCGAATCTCAAGATTCTAGATTGGCAAAGATTTCTTGGCTGGTAGCCCGGACAAGCCTTTTAATAGGGTGTATTCCAGGCAGAGAAGTTATGGAAAGGATGGGTCACTTGGGAGGTGATTCTGGTCTTTTACCATTTGTTTTATGGTCAAAGTGGATTTTGTTTCTCTGGGGAGTAATGAATGTTCTGTGGATGAAGGTCTGTATTCACTTTGTGTGTGTGTTTTCTTATGCTCCTCTCAACTTTGGCAATTGCTCAGCTGAATTAAACATTTCAGTTTGATTCATTAAGAATTTCCACCTGTGCATTTCATTTTGCTTTTTTTTCCTAAGACAAAACTTGGGAAATGCCCAAGAGAGGCATAGGGGATGGCTCAACAAAGTAGCTTTAAGGAAGCCATATTGTGAACCCCAAAATTACAGAAATGGGCAATAATGGCAGGCACACCTCGTTCATGCTGAAGTGCCCTTGTGATTCCCATGTGGCTGTCTATATGCTGAGGGGAAGCAGCAAAGGAAAAGGAAAAAAGAAATCCCCTGCCATTCTGTATTGAGTGGCGAACCTGTACAGTTATTGTAACTGAGGGGCACCATTCCCCTCAGGGGAATCCCATCAAATCCACTAATGGAGAACCAAGAGAGGAGCAAGAGATATGTCATTTTAGCCAAGGTTATGATGGGATTGCTTTGGCAAGACAAGGACAGGTGAATCGTGCTTTAAATCAGTAAAATTTAAATGGAGAAATGATCACAGAGACACCTTCCTGAGTTCACAGAACTTCCACATTCTTCATCAAAAGTCTTTTGACAAGTGCAGGTCTGCTCCAAACTAGTGTGGGATTCTAATTACGTTGACTTCCAAGCAAGGATACAACAAAAGCTTCGCAGTTCAGTTCTTTGTGGATCTACTCAGAAATAACTCCCACTAAGTTCAGATGGATTATTTCCCCATTCACCCCAAACAAGTGACGCATTGCAGCATTAGACCTCAGCCATACAAATGAACAGAAACCATAATTTATTATCTATAATACAAGTTATTAGATTAAAAAATACTCTCATTACAGATTACTGAGCTATGTGAGCTCACTGTCAGAGGGAGAGAAATTCAACCCTTGATATTTCAGAGTCCAAGATTCAATATCCAGTTTGGCGATTCTTCAAATTAAAGTCATTGAACTCAAACAGGTTATACCTTAAATGTATTGCATCAATCCATCCCTACCCCGCTGTGGATCATAAACCAGATCATAAACCATGCTGAGTATGCTAGGTGAATACATCACATTGTGGTTTGGACCATAAATCCTGACGAAGCAACCGCAGTTTAGCGCGACATGCAGAACAGTCTCTTTCCTACAGTATAGAAGCAACTGTCAACCAAGAACCATTAAAAATCACCTGTGCTGGAGAAGAGGCGTTCCTGGGACGAAGATTTGCCAGAGGGAGGCTGAAGATTGCTTGTCCATCAGTCAAATAATAACAGAATAACAAAGTTGGACTTGTAGGTCATCTAGTCTAACACACACACACCCGCACCCAAGCAGCATTTCTGACAGAATGGCCATCCAGTCTCTTCTTGAAAGCTTCCAGTGATGAAGCTCCCACAACTTCTGAAGGCAACTTCTGTTCCATAGGTTGATTATACTCATTGTCAGAAAATTTCTCCTTATTTCCAGATTTAATCTCTCCTTGATCAATTTCTATCCATTATTCCTTGTCTGTCCTTGGAAAATAGCTCGACCCCTTCCTGTCTGTGGCAGCCCCTCAAATATTGGAAAACCTCTATCATGTCTCCCCTGGTCCTTCTCTTCACTAGACTAGCCAAGCCCAGTTCCTGTAATTGTTCTTCATATGTCTTAGCCTCCAGTCCCCTTAATCTGCTGCTCTTCTCTGCACTTCCTTTGGGTCTGGGCTAATTGACAGGGCTGAGCATCAGGGAGGTTATCAGCCCCCGGCTGTTTTGCATCCCGGAAGAGTCCCAGCCCTGAGGTTTTCTTCACAACCAGGTTCCAGCCAGTTTGGAAGCTGGCTGTAAAACCTAAGGGAAGACCTGCCCGTCTCTGAATCCAGCAAAGCAGGCAAAGAACTCTGGGAGCATCAGGACCTTTCTTGCCTCTCCTCAGACTTCATTCATTCCGCCACGAGGTTTTTCTTACTGGCCTGGAGCTGGCCTGGTCATCCGTCACTGGGAGGCTGCTGGGCTGCTCGACAGCGAGAAACGGCGAAATTGCGGGGGGGGGGGGGGGGGGGGAGGGGAAAAGCCCGGGGGGGGGGGGGGGGGGGGGGGGGGGGCAGGTGAAAAGCCCGGTCTGCTCAGGCACGCCTGGCCGTGGGCATCCATTTTGTTTTTGGTCAGGCCTACTTCTGCTGATCTACAGAAGTGGCGAGGACTGAATGTTATATAGAATCTGGGCCGTGGGCGTCCCAGGAAAGCAGCACCTTTGTTTTCGTCTCTAAAGTGTGGCTTCTCAGAAGTAATAAAATACTGTTCATCTGCCTGTTAAACCGCCCAGAGTCACCTTATAGGAGAGATGGGGAGGAGATAGGAGACATAGACATTTAAATAAATAAATAACTCCTCTTAACGAGGAAGGCCCTCTTAATTTATTAAGTGTTTCTGCTGCCAGTCTCCTCCTATAAGGTGATTCTGGGTGGTTTACAAAAAGCAGATTAACTATTCTGATAAGCGAACCCTTTAGAGAAGAAAACAAA